AGTAACCGGGTCCAGGAACTAAAGCGATTCACGTTTAGCAAGGAATTGCTTGTGACTTCTGAAGCGTTCTTGAGTCCTTTGTTCTTTGATACTTGGGTAGTCGACACTACATAGTGTACTTGTGGTGTCAGCTTCCTTTGATGAAGGTCAGAATGTAGTTCCTGCAACTCGCTGCGTGCATTTTCTGGCCATGTGTTCTCGTCTTCCAGAAGAAAGGTTGGTCCGTGCCACCATGTTTAATTTTTCATGAGTTCTTGGGGCAAACATCCTCGGGTCCCCAAATCCGCGGGATTTAGTTCGCTGGGCACGTGCAATAAGTACACGTCAGAGGTATTAGACAGTATTACGTTGACTCGATTTTTGACAAAAATGGGTAGATTCTTGTTGTTCTTGACCCAATATAGTGCTACAAGGCTGTCAGTCCACAAAACTTTATGAGATTTGCATGTCGAGTTCTTTCGTGACATACGTGAGTAGTTTCGATCCCATCATCAGAGCAGTGATTTAAAAACGTGGAATAGTCATGGAGTGGCTGAGTGGCGCTAATCGACTCTTGGACATCACCAAGGAAGCTCTGATTGGTTTATCATTTGCCTTTTGTACAATGTAAGCCACGGCACAATAGGCGGCAGAAGATGCATCAGCGAATACGTGAAGATCGTACTCATAGGAGATTTCTTCTTCGCAGTCTATTATGAGTCTGGGTGTTGTTAACTCTGAGGTCGTCCATGCTGAAATAATTTCTTGCCACTGCGCTTCCTTTTCTGAAGGTAATGTTTCGTCCCATAAAAGTTTCTCCTTCCATAGAGATTGAAGAAAGATCTTACCGGGGAGCGTTGAGGGAGAGAGTAGGCCAAGAGGGTCGTAGATACTAGCGATGTGTTTCAGAACCTTTCTCTTCGTCCAAGGATCTTTGTTGGAGGTTTCTTCTGGGAGTGGTAGGATGAGGTTGTCATCGATGATATCCCATTTCAAACCCAGGAGCTTCTGCACGTTGCGAATGGCTTCTATCTCTCTCATCCCGAAATACTCGTTCAGTTTTTCTGCATTACTAGCGAAGGCTCGTAAGTTCATGCCAGCTAGTCTGAAGATTTCTTTGGTCTTTCTGTAGAAAAGGATTCCATCATCGATTTTTTGGCGCCATAGAATACGTTGTCGACGTAGGTGTTCCGAATTAGGTGACGAGATAAATCAGTTGCCGTTGACGCGAGATGGAAATGTATAGTGCCGGCCAACAAGAACGGAGAGCTTACTTGCCCGAAAGGAACGCGCGTAAAGCGATACGTGACCAGATTTTCGGGGCACAGTGATGCAGTCGGATCGTTCAACCATAAAAACCGAGTGTAATCTCGAGAATTACGGTTTAGACCAACCATAAGAAAAGCTTTTTCTATGTCGCTAGTAATAAGATACTTGCACAACCTGCTCCGAATAAGGATACCGGCGAGATCAGGAAGGAGAACTGGTCCCCTGTACAATGCTTCGTTTAGGCTCAAATGGCCCTTCATTTTTGCGGAGCCGTCGTCTACACAACGAATTTTTAGGCCTTTGTCGTCCCTCTTTACGACGCCATGATGAGATAGATAATGACATGGCCTGTAAAGTTCATAGTTTGGTACGTATTCAATAATATTTCTTCGCAGTTGGTCCTGAATCACTGCATGGTAACTCTCCAGGTATGATGGATTTTGCTGTAACTGCTTCAGTTGGCTGCGAAGACGGGAATACGCTAGTGAGTAGTTATCTGGGACGTTTGCTGGATCCTCTTTGAACGGCAACGAGACGACATAACGTTTCTCTTTACGATCATAGTATATGGTGTTGTTGAAATAATCAAGGCACTCTGCATCTTCACATTGATTTGGGTTATCCAGTATACCTATCGATTCGAGTTTCCAAA